CCCTAGAAAAGACCCTGATGTTGGGAAAGTGTGAAGCCAAGAGGAGAAGGGGACAACAGAGGATGAGATGGTTGGACAGTGTCATCAAAGCTACCGACATGAATTTGACCCAACTCTGGCAGGCAGTGGAAGACAGGAGGGCCTGGCATGCTCTGGTCCATGGGGTCACAAAGAGTCAGACACAACTTAACGACTAAACAACAACAGGGTGTTTACTGTACTTGCTTTTTCAGTTCTCTGCTTTCACTTGATTACAGATGCTGACTGAATCCACAATGGAACCCATTTCAGGAACTACAGTAGTTCCACATTAATTCCCACCACAACATCACTCCTCACAATAAGGGGAATCAGTATTCTCAGCAATGTCCTGGCATTGTGATAAGACTATGTGGGCTTGCAGAAGCAGATTTTTTCTCCCTCCTTCGTGTTCAAACCATGCAACGCCCATAAAGGCCAAACAACAAAGGCATTCATGTCTTGACAACAAACACAAAACTGTTTAATTAGAGGGAAACAAACATGTTTATCCTCCTACCCTGAATTTCAAACTCCAACACTGCAGAATGAAAATTCTATATTTAGACATCTTGTGATGGTTGTTTGCAATAAGGACTAATAACAAATTTATGAACTCCCTGTGTAGTTTTACAGTGTGCACAGAAATGAACAGCTGTTGTAGTAAGCAGCCAAAATACTGTATTTCCCTTTTTTCAATTATACATTTCAAGGGTGACCAACTTTTAGTTCTTTGAATATTTTGGCCTGCAACTCCCATCATCCTCACTCAGAATAAGTGGTGGTAAGGGATTCTGGGACTTGTAGGCTAAAGTACCTAGAAGGTCAAAAGTTCCCCAGCCAGAAATACTTGTTGCAAAGTGAAATAACAGCTCCCCTTAGATCTAGGGGCACTACAATGGAAATTAAATACAGTACAGAAAAAAGATTCACAGTGAGCAAACTAGCCTTCACACAGACTAAAAGGGCCAGCTCCCACACATTATTTTTCTTGGATCAGAAACTGCTTGTTTATTTCTATCTAAATGCAAGTTTTAGGTAGTAACGGGGTTTTATTCTATTTACTGTAAAATTTATTTTTGTACTGTTGATTTTAACGAAGACTTGATGTGTTGTGAGGTGCCCAGAGAGTATTCATACTAATGAAGCAGAGTGTACTGTACTGTAAACATGGTGATCTGCAATTTTTTTATAGTAACATTTTGCATTTATATACCGTATTGCATTCCTTGTCTTTCAGCCTGATCTACCTGGCAGAGTTGTTGTGAAAATGAAAGAGAGATTATGCAACCTTGAGTTCAATGGAGGAAAAGATAATACAGAAATATAAGTCTTCAATACACAGATAGAGACACACAATCCTGCAGCAGGGAACAACACACCAGAGCAGAAACTCAGAACTAAAACAACCCTTCATTGCCCTCCGCATCTCCATCCTTTTCTAGGAATACATGGCATAGTTTCTCAGCAAGAATCATTGCAATTTAGAAATAAAAGAGAAACTCCTCATTAGATATGAAAGGAAATCACGAGACAGGAGAACAGTCATGAGTAAGCTCATGAAAAGTTAATTATTGACAAGGAAGGAGTCGAATGTAAGGTTTTTATATACACACGGGAACTTAAGAGATGCCTACTGTTAAACTGCAGAGCTCGGCCCACAGGACATGAACACTAAGGCTTTGCAGTTTCGCCACATTATGCTGCGCTTGGGTGGTATAGGGAATTTTTCCTGAGATGGCTTTACCCCACAAGTAGAGGGTCTTGCTTCCCAGACTTGACTGCCAATTAGTGTCACGGAAGTATGCAAACAGTGGTAAGACTTCAAGGAGCAAGACAGGCCATGGTCAGGGCATGCAACCAGGCAAGCTTTCCCAATGGCTTCAGTGCAAACAAGATATCTCCAAGCCTAGGCCAACAGTCCAAGATCAGAAGCCAGCAGCAACAGCAAGAAAGGGAGAAAAACAGGGCACATTGGTAAAAAGCCCAGGTCAAGCTAGGTATGACTTGACAACAAGCAACAAGGTCTGATAGGTACAAGCGCATGTATAGTATGGAATGCTTTGTTCCAAGAACGAAGGCTTTGGGAATCAGCCACTTATACACTGCTGCCAAGACTGCTGTTATTGGGAACTCTGCCCAAGTGCAAGTTGCAGTTATCTAGCTCTAGATCACCTTGTGAGCAGAAAGGCTTACTTTCAGAGAGATCACTTACTTCTGAAGAAGCCGCTACTCAGGGGGAGACCTCCCCCCCCCCGAGCCAGGCACTCCTCAGTTTCTGTAACAGACCCCTTGCCTTTCTTGGGTGTTCCTTTCCCAGACCAGGAGGGAATTGGGTTTCCTTCTTCTGATTCTGGAGCAGCACCTCTTTCCCTCCGCAAGTGCTGTCTCTTGTGCCCCAAGGGCCCCCGAGTCTACCAGAGCTGCTGGTCCTTCCTCATACCCATGCTGACAGGACTCTGACTTCTCCTCACTGGAGAATTTGCCTGATAAGGGCATGACACCGAGGTCCAGAGGATCTTCAGCCATTTCATTTTGTCCGGTAAAAATGGAAATGACTTTTCCAGGTTGGCCCAAATCCTTAGAGGCACATGGATGGTTTCAAAGAACACCGTGGGCACAAGCACACATAGTTTACCTTCTTGGGCCTTGGGGAAGCCAGCACAGATTTCTGCACACCTAGGACACTGGGTTGAGCTTTATTCAGATTGTATTCTTAGCCAAATATAGGAAGTTAATCACTCGTTAATTAAGCAGCTTGGTAAGCACAGCAGCAAAAAACTGGCTTTGCAAACATTCCTTGGACTTCAGCATTTCCCTCTTCCCCTCCCTCACCTGAAAATGTGACTCTGTTACAGCAATTAAAATGAGCCCAAGCAATCCAGGACATGGAAAAAGCAATTCAGGCTACATTTGGATGAAAGCCCAAAGATTTCCGTCTCGTCACAGAACAAAATCACTCCCACAACATTTAAACAATATGATGAGTATGCTTTCCTTTGCGCATAATTTCTGGGGTATGGATGGATGGATGAATACAAATAGGGACCACTTCTGGTTTAACATATGATCAGCCCTGATATATAGCATGATCAGTTTGGTTCTGGCTACCAATTCTGGAGCAATTATAATCTGACCCTAAGCACAGATGATAAGAGGAACAGCACCATCACTTGATCTGCTTAGAACTTCAACAAAATACATCCAAATAAGTTAATGGTAATGTTACATTCGCGTCACCTCACCATTTGTCACAAAGGGCTAAGGTTGAACTATTTCAGAAGATCTGCAGGACAACATAATCTGGAAAGCACTCCCATCAACAAAAACTGATATTTGGTAGAACAGCCTGAACTGGCCATTCCACATATGGCATAGGAAGAATTACGAATAATAGCACCTAGAGACAATTAATACTGCCTAGTATTGATTGAAGAAGTAAACATTATACAGTATCAAGGTAACGAGGTTATACTGAAAAACCTACAAAGCAACATGACATGGACAGGTCTATTGCACATTTGGCCCATACAGTTCTCAACAGCAGGATGAGGAATCTATGGCTTTCTAGATTTTTTAGACCACAGCTTCCACAATTACTTATCATTGTCCACACTTGCAGGGGCTTCTGGGAGCTTAAGTCCAAAACCTCAGAAGGGGCCTGTTGTACAGGTAGAACTACCCTAGTCTTGCTTTAAAAAGGCCCCTCATGTGGAAATGCTGGAAATTTGAACTACAGATGCCATGGGTGCTAAGCACAGACTCTACTGCTGGGCCTTCCAGAAAATGGAAACGTCCCACTAGCTCTTAGCAGTGCCTCTGACACTGGCTGTCTTCTTTTCAAGAGATTCTGTATCAGTCTATGATTGGTGGAAAAAATAACATTTAGTTTACATGTCAATAAAGAATGACCAAAGTTACAGTCTCCAAATCAACATGTAAATCAAAACAGTTGTTCTGCAGTATTCACACTCCTCAGGATTACGTAATGCCCTTCCCCAAACAAACAAATGCGTTCAAAGCACTCACATAAAAGAAAGTGTATATGTTCATGAAAACAACCCACAAAACCAGCATCAGATTTGAGGGAAACATTTCACAATTGTTTCCAAATAAAACAAGGGTATGTTTGAAAAAATATACACAAACATGTGTATGGATTTTCAGGGGCACTTTTAAAAAGAGATATAGGAGTAGGACAGAAGGACCCTAACTGGGGGAAATAAGAAAGTATGATAAATTAACAGATTCATCCACCTTTAATACAGATTACCTTTGTTGCTATTTTGAATGTTATTCCTACTACTAAGTACATGTTTAGCAGATTAAACCTTGGGTGACCAATTACAGAAATAATCTGAGCGAATTTCCTGCAGTGATGATAAGCTGCAGCATCTCAGGTTGTCCTTAGCTGTTATTTTCTACATTAGATAATTTGATGGGTATTCAGGAAACCATAAAGAGCATACCGTAAAACATGCATTACATAGTTGTGGCTCTTGAGCCGGGCAAGGAAAATTTGGTTTTTCTCATCACCCACACTTTCTTACACACGCTGATTCAGAGGGAAAAACACTAGGAGGAAGAGTTTGTTCCTTTGGTTTTCTGTCTATAGTCGAAACGATGGAATTTTTGTTGTTGTTGGGGAGAGCAGCTGAAAACAAGGAGGGGTAAAACATGCATTACATAGTTGTGGCTCTTGAGCCGGGCAAGGAAAATTTGGTTTTTCTCATCACCCACACTTTCTTACACACGCTGATTCAGAGGGAAAAACACTAGGAGGAAGAGTTTGTTCCTTTGGTTTTCTGTCTATAGTCGAAACGATGGAATTTTTGTTGTTGTTGGGGAGAGCAGCTGAAAACAAGGAGGGAAAACAAAAGTTTTTTTTTTTTTTTTTTTTTTGCTGGGAAGAGCAGCTGAAAACAAGGAGGGAAAAACAAAAGCACTTAGCCCTTCAGGCCCAGGGATGTACGAGCACTTACCAAAGGCTCTAGTTCCTTGCGGTCTATGAGGTTGAGCTCCGTCACGAAATAATAAAAGTGCTTGTAACAAGTGTTGACGTGGGCTTCAGCCCCCATGATGATGATGCGGTCAAAGTGATGAATGTAGACATGAACAAACACTCTAAACAGCCTGCACAAGATCTTCTTGCAGATCTGGAGGAAATTCTTTGGGAACGGTACACCTGTGAACAGAGAAAGACGAGTCTCAGTTTTCGTGACAATGCTCTCAAGTCTGAGCAGGCCCTAAAGTTCACCATTCTGAACAGGCCCTTTGGTTATGCAATACAGGGTCTTTTCTGTTGAGTGCCCCAACTCTACTACACCTTTCACATTCATTCTTCTGTTACTTCTGATGGACAAGGGTAGATCTACTATGACACTAAAGAGGCTTAATCTCCAGGGCCCCTAATCCCAGAGGGGCCCCAGAAGCAACTTTAGTCCATATTTTAAAAACAAAACTGTGGTGATCTTTTGTGGAACAACCCCATTGAAGAAGATAACGGTACTCAGACCTCATTGCTGGTTGCAAAGGGACCCCAATAACAGTTCAAGCTTCAAGACCCTCCAAAATGTAGGGCTGCCACTGATGGTAAGGCATCGGCAAAGTGCACCCTTTGGCAACTGAGCAGGGATGAAAAATGTTTATTTCCTTTTGTTGTCATTGTTCAAAATGCTGTTTTCTGTTCACTGTCCCTTGCAGAAGCAGTAATTTTGCCATAAAATGGTTCAATAGCCCAAAAAGCTAAAAAAATAAAAATAAATCATTTTTTTGGGGGGGAAGTGGAGTATACACAGTACTGTATACCCATACAACAATAGCCCAAAAAGGTTTTAAAAAATCATTTTTGAGGGGGGAAAGTGGGATTCGATAATGGGAAGTTGCTATTTTTGACTATTTTCTGGATTTAAAAATGAGTGGCTCCTGGTATGTTCAGAGGCTCAACACTGACCCAGGACTCTCAAAAGCTGCCTATCCCTGGTTGAATGGGTCACTAAATTACCATTGGTGACAAGGGGAGATCCCATGTCCTTACTTGCATTTCAGGAAGCTTCTACTATGATCCATAGACCAATCAGGATTTTTAAGAGTCTACTGATATGAAATGTCACCTCCACGGTTTACTGATGATTAAAATGGGACCCAAATAGACTCAAATTTAATCATATTTCTGACATTTCAAGTACATATCAGAAGAAACAGCAGCTGAAGACTTCCACAGGGCTGTAGCTGAACTCTGAAGATATGATTTATATTGTCATTCAAGAACATACGTGACTGAGAGCACCATTAATATCAGATAGAGAGACTCATCTGGTAAAGAAGATGAGAATGCTACTGGGATGTGCTGAATATATGAATCTGTCTTACAGCAAGTAAGATCACTGATCTATCCATATTTCAGGTAGCAAACTGCAGAGGGGTACAGTTTGCTACCCTCCCAGTGGAAGCCACTTGGGGCTACAGAGAAAACTGTGGTGCCAAATATAAGTGGAAAACGCTGTTAAATCAAGCAGGAAAGTGTTTGTTTTAAATGTTCTTTTCCCATGTTGGTCCACAAAAGTAGGCAGCAAACTACACAAACCCACTGAAAACTACAAACTTCTGCCTGTTTAATGGGTTTTCCTGCCCGCTGTTGAATTTTGGTGGCCTAATTTTGATTGCATAATAGTGCATAGTGGGGTGAAAAAGACCCTCTGGGGCCACATGCAGTCTATAGGCTATCTGTTGACCACCAGCATCACTGGTCCATCTAACCCCAAGAAGTGTTTCCAATAAGCTATTGTTTTCATTATGAGTTGTTCAATTATTCCAGAATACATTGTTCAATTATTTTTATTTAATTACTCTCCTAACTTCATGGGGGATGTAGTGGCGCTGCAGGCTAAACCACAGAAGCCTCTGTGTGCTGCAGGGTCAGAGGACCAGCAGTCATAAGATCGAATCCACGCGACGGAGTGAGCTCCTGTCGCTTTGTTCCAGCTCCTTGCCAACCTAGCTGTTCAAAAGCATGTAAATGCGAGTAGATAAATAGGTACCACCTTGGAGGGAAGGTAAACAGCGTTCCAGGTCTAAGTCGCGCTGGCCACGTGACAACAGAAACTGTCTTTGGACAAACGCTGGCTCTACGGCTTGGAAACAGGGATGAGCACCACCCCCTAGAGTCGGAGACGACTGACTAAAATGTCAAGGGGAACCTTTACCTTTACCTTACCTAACGTCATAGCAAAACAGCCAACTAATAACTGCACACAACTGCAACCATGTAATATATTAAAATGCCTTCACTTGGCCAGTGAAAGTTGTTTTTTCCCTGTGCCACATGAAGTAGCATCTAAAAGCATTATATGAATGCAAATCTCTAAAACCTATGAAGCATTAATTGCTACTGCAGAGGGTAGTGGCAATATCTTGCAAAAACAGATTATTAAAGATTTCAGTTTTACCATTTGGAATCAGCTTTTCCAATCGTCCCTTTTATACTATGGCCACTAAATAGTCCTGCCATACAAGAAATATAAAAACACAGCTGAGCGCACATAAATGTAAATGATTTGCACAAGTGTCACTGTGTAATATCTCAGTGAGCAACTGTGAAGAAAAAGATCCTGAGAAGGCTAAAAAATGTTTCCTCTCCTACTTCCTTTGGGGATGTTTAAAACACACACACACACTAAATACCAATTTGGAATTGTAAAGCTTAGAAATAGCTTATAAATATAAAGTAATTATTATTATAATAAAGCAATTATTTTAAGGAAACCCCAAAACAGGGTATAGAGATTCCTGAGCATAATAAGAGACAGACTGAAGAATTAACACTATAGATAACAACTGCTTAAAAATTCAACTACAAATTTATCCAGGAAACCAGAAGCTGATCCTTTGTGATTGATCGGAAATGATCCACGTTAGAGACAAAACCTATACCACATAGCAAAACATACTGAAAACAATTAGCTAGTTAGTAAAGCGGAGCACACATAAATCTCTAGAGTGTTGCTTGACAACAAGAATGATTATTTGCCAGTACTGAAATATGAAAATGAGACAAAAGAAAAGGATTGTCAAAGGCCAGAAACACATTAAAATGCAATGATGCCATTAGAAAAAGAAAGACAAAAAAAAATGAGCTCATATGGCAACAACTGTCAAGTCTGTGGATTGAGAGCAATCCTCCAGATGGCTGGTTTTCTGATCTGGGGAAAGGCCCACGCAATAATAGGAAGTAATTAGTTCCTCTCCCTGGACCTTAGTGTTACAGTTTGCTTGATGTAATGGAAGAACCTCTGTCTCCATTATTTATTAGCTGACACAAGCTGCATAAACCAGCAAGAAAGATTCCTTTTCGATCCTTGTCGCCAAGCTTTGCAACTTCCATCGCTATACAGAGTGAATGATGCACTGGAATAGAGGGCAAGCTGGCTGATGAGGGATTTGCCTTTGAAAGCCAGCACTGTGTGCCAAGCAGAGCTGGATCAAGGAAATGGTCTGGGTTCTAGTTTCAAATCACCCACCGCTCAGCTATGAAGTTCAGTGGATGATCCTCGGCCAACCTCCCTCCCTCCCTCCCTCCCTCCCTCTCTCTCTAGGGAGCATTATGTCCTCCGGGGAGAAAAGGAACAATATTTACTTATAAGTCCCATTTATTTCAACAGTAGAAAGATGCTTGTTTCCCTCCCAAATTACGTCACCAAAGCAGGCAGGAGAGGCAACGTCAGAAAACCGAGATACAAGATGAACTAGTGAACTCTGCGAGGTGAACTTCTTACCTTTTCCTTGAATTACAATAATCATGCTATGCCCCCTCCTCCCAGACTACATTTCAATTTTCATCCAGAGAGCAGGCAAAGTAGTCAAATCAAATCAAATGCCTTTATTGGCATATACAAAACAGATGCATATACAGACACCAAACAAAGTATTAATTAACTAAATCTATGAATTTGTTGTGTCTCAATCTATGGTTCCTCACTATCTGGTTCAAAAAAGGCCACCACAATCTCCACTATAGCTAACTCTCCCATTGACAGAATGTACTTCAATGTGTCACAATCTGAACGGCCCCTCTTCTTTAACAAAAACCCGTCTATTTCCTGCGGAGGTCCATAAAGAATGGAGAAAACAAAATCATGTGAGAGAATGACTCTATTCAACCCAGCTCCCAGCAGCAACACCTCTCGCTGTATGGGATCCCATTGAATCTTCAGTACTGCACTGCTGATGGAATGGCGTTGGATTTGGCAAATAAGTCTATATTTCACTCTGAATGGGGAAAAAAGGATTCAGTCAGTACTCGTAGTAGGTATTCAATTCCAAACTAGATTGGCATGTTCACACCCATCACTTGCCACTGATCAGAGATAAGGAGAATCTCCCATAGCATGCGTCTTGCTCTCCCAATTGGAACCAAGAGAAGCACCCCACAAGGTGTGCACATTGATATATCCTATCAGCAATTGGAGATAACAATATGTACTGCACACTTTCAAAGATGAGAAGATAAGTGGGGAAAATCTTCATGCTCCAGAGGATGGGAACAAAATTTGCAATGTTAGGTTTAAACATTAATTAGTGGGATGTTAGATTAACTCATTGGTATTGGTGCTGAAATATGAAAACATTCATCTAATTAACATTGTTAACAGGCAACTGGAAACATTTTCCACACTTCTGTAGAAGGAGCATGCCATTTCAACTTCCCAAAAGAAAAAGAGGCCTACATTTTTCTTTAAAAACATTTTATATATTTTGCGTGTGTGTGTGTGTGTGTGATTCCAAAGGTCTCTTTTTCTTATGGTAGCCGTGATCAGAGGCAGTGGTCACCCAGCACCAGGAGGCTTGAGCTGGCCGGGTGCTTGGCTGATCGCCCCTGGCCGCGGCGCAGGCAGCGTAGCACCAGGAGGCTTTGGAGGCTTCAGACTGGTAAGTCCTTTTAAAAAAAACTGTTTTGAGTGGGTTTTGGAGGGTGGGTCTTGGACTGGGGGGGTTATGTTTCTGTGGGGTAGTTTTGAGGTTTTTTGGATTTGTGGTTGGTTGGTTGGTTGGTTGGTCGGTCTATTTTCAGTCCCCGGGTGGGACTTGCTCTATTTATTTTTATTTTGGAATTTTTTTAAAATGCTGGAACAGATTACTCCCGTTCCCATGCATTACAGGAATAGTGAATAGGTGGGTTAGAGGCACCACCTATTCACTATTCCTACATAAACAAAGTGGGCCATATTGCACTTTTTAAAAATCCAAAAATTTATTTCATTTTAAATAAATACTACCACTCTATACGGTCAACATGCAAGTCCCAGGACAGTATCTGCACACGTAATGCAAATCCCTTACTTGTGGCCCTTCTGGACTCTTAAGAACAGACCTAAGAGTTGAAATCTAACATTGTGGTCAATGAGATTAATCTGAGGTACGATTATTGCTAGATGTGGGCTCTTGTGAAGTTTTAAGTTTTAATCTGTAAACTGCCCAGAATAGAGCTTGCACTAACGGGGCTATATATAAATCAATAAAATAAAATGACTATTTTGACTTTTTGCCAAAATCTGCAGGACGCTATTGAGATCTTTGAAATGTGCAAGTCAATTTACTTCCAGTTAAACCTGTAGTATGTCAACGGTGATGGGAGACATAGGTTTAAATTTTAACAGATATTGGCATACAGTACTTCTGGTATGATCTAATTCCTTAAAAATGAGCAAACACAAAGCGACAGTGATCAGTTCCAACTTCTGTTTAAACACAAAGGCTCATATATTTCTCCCCACAATGAAACTGTCCAAACTGCAAATACACAGGCTAACATTAAATACAATGGAGTTAGTCTTCAGCTGCCTATTTTTTTATCCCACTATAGTTTTCATTACTAGAAGTAAACCAATGAGGAAGCACAGTCAATTCACAGAGCGCCTATATTGATTTTACTTCTAGCTACGTCTGGGAAAATTACCTTTTTAAAAATTATCTGATTTTATTATCCTTCTGTAACTTCCTACAACCAAAGGTTAAGGCTGGCACAAAGCCCACATGTATAGACAAAATTAAAGCGGCAGAAAGAGGGTAAAAAGAAAGAGGGGAAGCAAGAAAAAATGTTATAGTGCCTTAAAAATTAACAGATTAACATCAGCATGTGCTTTTGTGGGCTTGATTCACAAAAGCTCAACAGAAATTCCAAAAGCCAGAATCACTGTTTTAACAGAAGCATGTGCAGTCACCGTGGGCAAAAGAAGGAAGACAAAGGCATTAAATTAGATCACAGAGCTGCAGTTATTCAAGGAAGAAGAAAAGAAGAAGATGCTGGAATTTCTATACTTGCAGCTACTTGCTGAACTAGGAGAAAAGAATTTACTCCTGGATGAATGACCTGGCTATGGTTCAAGCACAGCTACCGACTCAGCCAGGATTCAGCCTGTGAACAAAGGAGAATGACAGAAAGATTCTGCTAACCTAATCCTATGGCTCCAGATGGCGTCTCCCCCACCCCAATAAAGCGGCAATTTGCCACACGAGAGGTCTGCAAAAGCATTTCAGCCACACACTTGAGACTCCTCCAGTGGGACCAACAGGCCAGGAACGAACCAGTAGCTGATCTAATTTAACTTAGCCCTAGGGCTGCTATATTCGCACAAGCACGCCTATACCCACAATTCATAATGCACCTTGCATCATTTAAGGCAGCTTTCCCCAACCTGGTACCCTCTAGATATTTTGGCCTAAAACTCCTATGGCCTCTAAGCAACGTTGCCGGTGGCCTTGCATGATAGAAGTTGTAATCAAAAAGATAGGAAAGAGGACACTGTGTCAGGGAAAGAAGAGCTTGTGTGATTTCAGAAGTCGTTTAGGAGTAGGATTGCCAGACGTCAGGCAAAAGGACATGTCCTCCTTTTTAGCCTAATGTCCTCCGTCCGGCAGGCAAAGATAAAAACCTTTAAAATGTCAGGGGTTTGCATATTTTATGTTAGAATTTTAGATGAGAGGGGGAGAGGTGGAAGGAAATTTTCGGGGGGAAAAGCCTCCATTGAATTGATTTTTATTTTTTAACATGACTTATTTGGTTCACTAGGAGATAGTTATTAGCATCTATTGTAATAAAATTGTATTGATTGCGGGTTTAATCCAGAATGGTTCAAATGAAACATTCAATATGTCCTCCTCTGCCCTCTTTTTTCTCTTTCCATGTCCTCCTTTTGGTACCCATGTATCTGGCAACCCTATTTAGGAGGGATATCAGTCCAGACAGTGGGCAGAAAGGAGCTTAAATGCGTTTTAGAACTTCAAAGTCTGTTTTACACATTTTGGACGTTGCTTAAGGTCACACAGAGAGGGGAAGATATCAGCAGATGTCTGAAGAGATGAAAACAGTGTGGGAAAACAGTACAATGAGTGGCTGCACACAGATGGATCAATGTGGTGACAGCAGTCACATGAAGCAATTTAACATGGACTTCACAAGGCAGCCATGATGTGTGAACTGATACTGTGGTGTGTTTCTGATCTCTCTAGTGGGCCAAAAACATGGACAGCTTCATAATCAGAAGTGGAGTCGGCTTAAAACCTGTGTGACTAACCTTCAAAGACTTTCAAGATTCAGAAGGTGCAAAATAGCTCATTTTTCTTTGGTAACTGGTCATTGAGAGCAAACAATGTGTTCACCTCTAAAGCGATTAATATGTTATCACCTCCTATTGCAAAGCTGTCTGGTGGTTTGTTATGATCTTGAGTCTGCTTAGGGAATAAGGAGCAGTACAGAGAAAGAGGAATACAGCCCCCCCCTTTTTTTTTACTCTGTCCAAAGGTGTTTTGGACTTCAGTTCCTAAAAATCCCAGCCTGGTGAAGGACTATAAAATGTGAAGGACTATAAAATCTGAAGGCTGCATGTGATGCCCGGTTCACAGGGCTACAACGTCTCAGTGCTGATGGTGATGGTACAGATCCATAAACCTTTCCCACCATCCCCAGTATTCGCTGCCCAAAAAGTACAGCAGTTTACACAAAGCCTCTCATTACCCACCTCATCCACTTAATGTTATACCTGTTGTTCAGAGACAGGGTCTCAGCAAAAGGGCAAAATGGGTTCCGGGCAAGGACGTCAAGGCTCCAGAGGAGGAGTCTGGAATCATTTCTGGCCCCTGAAATGCTTACTCAGAACCTATTTAATAACAGCTTAAGGCAGGGGTCCCCAACCCCCAGTTTGCGGCCCGGTGCCGGTCTGCAGGCTTCGCAGGACCAGGTGGCAGAGCTAGATCTCTCCTCCCCCCCGAACATATGCATGGTGGGCATGGTGTGCTCGTCCACGTGTGTGGGCTTGTTCACGGGTGGGCATGCGCATACCACCCATCTGCAAGCGCACCCTGCTCACCTGCGCATATGCACGCAACCGCACCACACCCATCCGCAAACGTGCCACGTCCACCTGCAAGTCCAGGGGGTGTCACCGCCTCCCCATGCATGGACCCCCCCTCTCCCAACCAGTCCACGGTTCCAAAAAGCTTAGGGCCACTGGTTTGAGGGACACAGCCTTGTGGCCTGACCTCCAAGAGGAGCAGCTTCCAGAAAAATGGAGAAGCTGCATTTTTGTGTGTGTGGTGCTGGGGGCAGGGAAGGCTCCCTTGGGAACAGAAGGGCAGGAAACCCAGTCCTGGGCTAAGGTTCCAAACAGGAGGGCAGGAAACCCAGTCCTGGGCCAAAGTTCACTCTCTGCTCCATGCACAGACACCAGAGAAACTGCACATAAGTGCTGTTCAATACTTTGAGTGAGGGGTGGGGAGAAGGGAGGGGAAAGGAGGAGAGGATTCCATGGTGGATTTCCTGGCACCTCATGGTGACGCACCACAGTTTGGGATACACTGTGCTAGTGTAAATACAACCCATACACAAGTTGTGAATTTCTTGACGATCCAGAGTTAACATCCTCCCTTGGCTGTGTTTCTGGAACCTCTGCGAGTGAGAAAAGCCATGGCTTCCAAGCCAGATGTTTCATGTTAACTCAGTGTGTTACTAAAGAAAGTCTTTCTCCGGAGCGCCAAAGCCAACAAGCCCAGTGAGGCAGGACTTTGTTCTCCTCAAAATAACCCAACAGCTGCAAACGATTAGATAACCTGGGCCACTGGCTAGATAACCACAACTTTCCAGATGCTGCCCTCCTGCATTGGCCAAGCCAAGAAAAAGGAAAACAGGTTAATCTTACTATTCATTCTACATACAGTATAATCAGAATTCTACCTGCTAATGTGCATTTTGGATTTCTTTTTTTAATTAGAAATTCCATAATTCTCCTTCTTGGAAGTCCCATCTGCAGTCCTAGACCTTACAGCCATGTAAATTTTGCTCACCTGAAGAGAAGGCCCAGCTGTAGGGCTTCATGTCTTGGATAAACTCAACTTCCTGTTGGGGGGGGAAGCTTCCCACTATTAATTGGCGCAGCTTCATTTTCAAACAGGGAGTTAGGTTTACCCGCTGCATGGAGCCTGCCAGCTGGGTTTTCCCAGGTGGCAAGGGAGCACAGTTTATTTATCTGTAGGGACTGGGGCCTGCAGGTGGAACTCCCAGAAAGAAAAATTATGGCATTTGTAGTAAAAGAAAAATCCAAAATGCACATTATCAGGTAGGATAGGGATGGGCCAGAATAAAATACGTCGTTTATAAATTTGCCAGTGACAATCATTAACATTTGTACCTCAATCCCAGTTTCCCAAGGCTATAACTTATTCTTATGGATCCCATGAAGAGTGGAAAATAAAATGAAACAAAAAAGCAAATGTCATTTCCTTTCTGAAGCTGGTACTAGTGTAGCGAGGAGAATTTCCTCAGTGCCTTACTGCATGAGTAGATGGGGAGGACAGCTGTCGAAACGGGTTGACCAAGGCCAGATGTTGAAAGTTTGGCTTTCTACATGCTAACTGCACTTTCCTTGGTTTTGACATTGTGTTTATTTGTAGCCTTCCAATTTGGGCTCCATTAAATTGACATCCAAGGTGGTGTGCAAACAAAGGCACAAGACTCTTTGTTTTCTTGTTATCTAAGAGAACGGCTTACTGTTTACTGGATTCATGTTTATAAAATAAGTATGTGCCATTCATAAGCATGCTTTTGAAGGCTAACTACCCTCTGTAGTCCAACTCAAAGAGAAATTTGAATTAAGTCCTTTAAAAATATTTATTCTATTCACACGTTCTTTGAAATTCCATGCACTTTATTTTTCAGTTAGATGTAGAGGAATAAACTAGTGGACATAGTGGTGCCTCGCTAGATGGTTACCCCGCTTGACAATGAAATCGCTTTACGATGGGTTTTTGCAATCGCTATAGTGATTGCAAAACGATGGTTCCAATGGGGCTATTTCACTGTACGACCACCCGTGTCCGCTTTAGAGCACTTTGGAGGCTTTTCCTGCACCATCAAGAAAAGCCTCCGAAGTGCTCTAAAGCGGGTGCGGGTGATTTCAGGGCACTCCCGCCAGGGCTCTAATGGTGCAGGGGAAGCCTGGCAGGGGTGCCCCGAAACCATGAATCAGAACCCTGGCGGGGGTGCCCCAAAACTATGCGCCCTGGCTTTGGGGGTCCCCCGGGGCTTACCTTGCACCATGGGAGGACTCACGCAGGTCCCTCTGTGGAACAATCGGCATTTGCAGAGCTTTGTCTGAAACCATTTTTAAAGTTCCCATCTCTTCCTCCAGCCTTCAGCAAGCCTTGAAACTTCTGTCGTTTGCTGACCGTTACATTTGTTGTATTTTTGTGGTGGGCTTGAATACTATTTGTAGGATGTGTTTTTTCAAAAGTTTCCCCATGCGGTCCATGACCCCTTTGATGTATGGCAGAAATACTTTATTTGTGGGTGGCTGTTTTTCTTCTTCAGTTTGGTGTTGTTTTCTTGGTTTGATGGCTCTTGTGATTTCGTTTTTGGAGTAGCCATTTGCCTGTAGGGCCCAATTCAGATGGTTGAGTTCAGTGCTGAGAAATAGAGCTTCACAGTTCCCATTTGCACGGTCTACCAGTGGTTTGATTATGCCTCTTTTTTGCTGTGGGTGGGGGTTGGAGTTTTTGTGTAGCTACCGGTCTGTGTGGGTGGGTTTTCTGTAGACCTTGTGTCCCAGTCAGAGGTCAGTTTTGCATACGACCATGCGTACGACCAAGTTAAGAAATCTATGGAGATTTCTTAATTTAAAACAAGCTGCCTCCAGACATAATGCCTTTTGTCTAGCTATGTCAGTGGATTTCAGTCACAGCACCAACGATCCCCCAAACAGTCACAATGGGCACCATCACCAGACATCACGTCACACCAAGCTATGATTTCACTTGGCCTATTACTGTACATCATTTGATGCTATGGTTCTAGGCTTTACTAATCAGAACATAAAATACTTAATTCTGTGATATAAGAAAATGCTGAGCATATTAAGCTAGCATACATCAAGACTGACTTCTAAAGGCACTCTGAAATGTTTCTAATTTCTTGTACAAGTTATTACTCTTGGACATCCAACATTCTTCCCCTTATGAAGAAGACAGTTTCGTCTGCTTTGCATGTCCACAGTTTCTTAACTAATTAATGGAGTAGCTTCATCCCCACTGGAGAAAGTATATATAGTCAACTGTGACTAATACCAGCTTTCCAAGTACAACAACAAAGTTATCTGTAACAGCCTTAAAACACATCCCTGTCAAGTAATGCACCAATCACCCTTTGCAGCTTTTCTGGGGGCATTTTGTTAACACAGCCTGTTATACTTTAGGATCAATGCTGACATCTGAAACAAAGTTATGAACACCAGACTGATGAGTGTCTCATTTCATTGGCTGTATAGCTCAGTGGTTCTGGTATCCCAGAGGCTGGGAGTTCACTGTGCCTCTTGCAAGTAGAGCCAGCCTGGGTGGTCTTGGGCAAACTGCACAGGTCCCAGAAGAAGGGAATGGTAAACTACCTGTGTATTCTCTGCCTAGAAAACCCTGGGAAGCAGCACCACAAGTTAAAACTGACTTGATGCCATGCAATATTTATTTATTGCTTTCTTTATTGCTTGATCATGTGGTTTGAGAGGAGAGGGAGGAAAGAGAGAACAAGATCAGGGAGCAAGTATATATTTTAACAGAGAACCTTGGTTAGGAAACTACATAAAAATTACTGTATTGTTTTGCATCGTATCATAGTCTTTTGTTCTGGTCTCAGACCATAACAATTAATTAAAGCAAAGGTCTTTTCTTGGCAGAGCACTCAATGCTTGATGCTTTAAATAACCAACTACAGAGACATAATAGTCTCACAATGCAATAAACGCTTTCACTAAACAAAGAAATATGAAAAGAGCTGCTGTAGTTAATGGCTTGCTCTGCTGAATATAAAAGGCACAAAAATTCTTATATGGTGCAGCTTACCAAATGATGACAGCTTAACAAAACAAATATATCCCCCTTGCAAAGTTTCCTCTATTAAATACTGTAAAATGGCTGTAAACACTATTATTCCCAGCATGGGAATAATAGTGTTCCCAGTTACTTGTTGAAACGAGAATTTGTTCTCATCACCCAAATTTAGGCAGATAGGCAGAAAAATTATAAGAACAAAGAGAATGCATGTGTGTATGTTTCCGACAC